TTATTCCTGAAGACCAAAACAGACAAACAAAAAAAACCCCATTGGGGTCAAGTTGATTCTGACTCATAGTGACCCTATAGGACAGAGTAGAACTGCCCCATAGGGTTTCTAAGGAGCAGCTGGTGGATTTGAACTACCAGCCTTTTGGTTAGTAGCCATAGCTCTTAACCACTGCAGCAGCAGGGCTCCATTCCTGAAGACAATGGGGATCGGTTGAAAGGTTTCGAGCAAGGGTGATATATGATAAGATTTTCACTTTAAAAAGATCGTTCTTGTAAAAGGGTTGATTGAAGATGTGAGAGGAGAGAATGAGAAATTAGTTATTATACAGTTTATACTCACATTCCATAGACAGCTTGTATGTAGAACATATATAATATATGCATTATATATAGATTTTATATATTAATACAATGTATGGTAATAATATATAAATATATTATGAACTTTACACAATATAAATATAATTATATATTATATAACATATAATAATATATAAATTATAATTATAATAACGTATGTTGTTGTTGTTAGGTGCCATCAAATTGATTCTGACTCATAGCGAACCTACGTATAACAGAAAGAAACACTGACTGGTCCTGTTAATATTAATATATAATATTATATAAATAGGCTATATATATTAACATATTGCATATATACTATATACATAAATGTTGTCTAAGTGTTATATTGAGGTATAACTTTAGCTACAGGAAATACAGGATTTTTAAACTTCCTTTTTGTTTTAAAGGTTTATCCTGGTCAGGGGTTAACAACTATAGCCTTCTGGTTGACCATCTGCTTTTATAAATAACATTTTATTTGAACATAGCTACGCTCATTCATTTACGTGCTATCTGTGGCTGCTTTCATGCTACAACAGCAAAGTTGAGCATTGCTACAGAAACTATATGGCTTGCAAAGCCTAAAATACTTAATACCTGGCCCTTTACAAAGGAAGTCTGTTCGTCCTTGATCTAGGGTTTACTACCTTCACATAATATTATGTAACATCATGTTATATAACAACATACATAGTGGAAGAAACTTACCATAGTGTCGTATAGTTATCTATTGCTGCTATCAGAAATATGAGAAATGGGTGGCTTTGACAACCAAAAAGGTATTTTCTCACAGTTTAGGAGGCTAGAAGTCTGAATTCAGGGTGTCAGCTCTAGAGGAAGGCTTCCTCTCTGTTGCCTCTGGAGGAAGTTCCTTGTCTCTCTGAGCTTCTGCTCCTGGGCGATCTCCATGTGTCTTGGCATCTCTCTTCCCCCATCTCTGCTCTGCTCCCATTTTTAATCTCCTTTATATCTCAAAAGAGATTGACTCAAGATACACCCTACACTAATCCTGCCTCATTAATATAACAAAGACAACCCATTCCCAATATGGGATTATAACCATAGGCATAAAAACCTGTTGCCATCAAGTGGATTCCAACTCACAGTGACCTAAGACAGAGTAGAATTGCCCCTAGGGTTTCCAGGGAGCAGCTGGTGGATTCAAACCGCCGACCCTTTGGTTAGCAGCTGAGCTCTTAACTACTGTACCACCAGGGCTCCTACCACAGGCATAGATGTTAGGATTTGCAAGACATATTTTGTTGGTGACACCAAAATGACTGCCTATAAAATTTTTGTGCAATGTTTCAGCAGAAATTTATTATTTTTTATAAAAATATCCCAGTAGTTAGTTATAACAACAAAAACATTTTTCATAAACCCAGCTTACATGTATCAATATACCTATAAGGCTAAAACTCTGTGCTAATTTACTTTTTGAAACTTCTTGGTATGAGTCAGAACCTACTTGATGGCAATGGGTTTAGTTTGTTTTTTGTTTTAATGTGCTCCAGTCAGAGCTGTCGTTATTACCCAATTACAATGACTCTTCAAATCGTGTGGTTTCATTGGCACACACTACACGCATACGTTGTTGTTTTTGTTGCTGCCAGGGTTTTCATAGTCACTGATTTTGTCAAATTTTCTGGTGTTTTAGCTATAGTATTGTGCTATTAGTATCTGTGAACCCATATCAATAAATTTTTTTTAAGAATGAAGTAGTAATTAAAGGAAAAGAAGGAGAAAAAAAAAAAACTTTAGCACAAAAATATTACTAAGGATTCTGTACGGTCTGGTACGGGAAGTGGCCGTGGCGCGGTGTGGTGACTCCATGAGTTACTGCACTGGATGACGCCAACCCTAGTGATGCCACTGCCATGATTCAGACAAGTTCTTTGCCACTGCATAAAAAGCACTGCCCTTCCTCCATTGTCCAATCACATGTTCATCATCTTCTTTTAAAGCCAAACCAGAAACCAATTTAACATCCACAAAGCAAAATTTTGTTGTTGGTGCCATATGTATTCTCTAAGACAATAGAGACTTTCTCTATCGCTCTTCTCACTTCCTTCTTAGCCCTCACCGGAATTGCCTTTGGCGTCCATAATTCTATTGTGACGGTTAAGGTTGTATGTCAGCCTGGCACGTGAAAGGCAATCGTGTTTATCTTTTAAATAAATTTAAATATAAGGAAAAATACTTTACATTTACGCACATATTTACCATTTACAGCATTTCTTTCTTCATATAGGTATGATTTTCCATATGGGGAAACTTCCCTGCAGCTGAAGAAGTAACATTTCTTATAGTAAGATCTATTGGTGATAAATTTGATCAGCTTTTGTTTGTCTTAAACATTTTTACCTTAATTTCATTTTTAAAAGATATTTTTGCTGGATTTAGAATTTTAGGTTATTTTTCCTCCTTTTAATCACTTTGGAGCCCTAGTGGTGCAGTGGTAAAGCGCTCGACTGCTAACCAAAAAGTTGGTGGTTCAAACCCACCAGCTGCTCCACAGGAGAAAGATGTGGTAGTCTGCTTCTGTAAAGATTTCATCCTTGAAAATCTTATAGGGCAGTTCAACTCTGTCCTTTAGGGTGGTTATAAGTCAGAATCCACATGATGGCAATCTTTTTGGGGTTTTTTAATCACTTTAGAGATATTGTTCCACTGACTTTTGGTTCACATTTTTTCTGCTGAGTTCTTGCCTTGTACCTAATGAGCCTGTTTTTGTTTTTGTTTTCTTCCTCATGCTACTTTTAAGATTTTCTCTTTAGCATTTTTTCTTTCTTTCTTTCTTTTTTAGCAATTGATTTTGATGTGCCTCATTGTGTGTTATTTTGAACTCCTCCTTGGAGTTCAAAGAGCTTCTCTCAGATATCTTAAGTTCATATTTTTTTTAGTCATTATTCCTTCAGGTTTTTTTTTCTGGTCTAGTCTCTGCCTTCTCTGCTTCTAGTACTCCATTTGCATGAGTGTTAGGTACTTAACATTGTCCCACAGATTACTGGGCTTCTATTCTTTTTTTTAAGCCTTTTCCCCTTTGAGCTTCAATCTGAAGGGTTTATAAGACCCTGTGTTCAAGTACACTGATGTGTTCTTCTGCAGTGTCTGATCTGCTGTTAAGCAAATCCAGCAAATTTTTCATTTCAGATATAACTTTCAGTTCCAAAATTTCCATTTTGTTCTATTTATAGTTTTTGCTTTTCAATTAAGATTTCCAAATTTGCTAATTGAACATTTATAAGTTTTCTTTTAGATAATTGAACCAATTTATAATTTCTCCTTTTAAGTCTTTGTCTGCTAATTCCCTCATCTGTCATTTTTGGGTCCATCATCTCATCTATTAGGTGGAAGATTGGTGGCTTAGTGGTTAAGCGCTATGGCTGCTAGTCAAAAAGTTGGCAGTTTGAATCCACCAGACACTCCTTGGAAGCCCTATGGGGCAGTTCTACTCTGTCCTGTAGGGTTGCTATAAGTCGGAATCGACTTGACAGCAGAAGTTATGTTGTTGCATATCTAAATTTTTGTGGCCTTCCTTAACGGAGTCTTGATTTTTTTTTTTTTTTTCTGATGAGGGAGTTAATTTACTTGGGGTCAACTTCATCTTTTTGAGGCGTGTTTCTAAGCTTTGTTCAGATGTGTCCAGAGTAGGCCTTAGTTTAGGACTAAATTATCCCTACTTGTACTGCATGCCCTTCCTGGGTCTCCACAGAATACCTAGAGTTGTCCAGCAAGGTCTCTCCATCTTGGCAGGTTTGAAGTCAAACGCCCTCCAGCCCTCTGCAGCCCCTGGTGGTTGTTTATCTCATACCTGCCTTTACCTGATCTTGTGGAGCCTTGGCCTGAAAACACATGGCTTAGCATTTTGTCTGGAACCTGGTTTCCAGAGACTCATCGGGCCCCTGTGCAGGTGTCTAGGGCTCTGTCTCTGCACAGCGTCCCTGTGGACACACTACTCTGCGCATCCATCTTCCTTGGTCGCTGTGGATTCTGTGCTCTGTTTACACTCTGCTTCTACGTGTCATGATCCAGGAAGCTCTCCAGGCAGAGAGCCAGATAGCTTGTGGGGCTCTCCATATCTGTCTTTCTTCATTTGTGGACCAGATACCCCACTGCATGTTGTCCAGTTGCTAAAAACAATCACTTTATATGTTTTGTAATCATCTATGATGGGAGAGCTATTCTGTCGTAGCTGGAAGCAGAAATAAGCCATATAAAAATTGTTAAATGAATGATATTTCTGTGCTGATTTACAAAATGATTTTCATTATAGCTGTCCCCATAGAATAAACTGTTTTCATTGTCAGCTTTTAAGTTTCTTACTTTAAAAGAGATGCATATATTTTAATATACTGTATATTGGATAATTAATTGAATTGTTTTTCTCATTTACTTTCATTAGTAGCTAAACTCACCCCCAAAAATATATATGTATATATTAGCTTTTAGCACTAAGCATTATGCCATATTTTCTGTAATTTATTTAATTTGTGTGCAGCCATCATTATTTTAAATATTACTACGAATTAAGAGTACTTTTGTTCTATGTAAGTCTCGTTCTTCCAATAAAGCTTTTTTCCATTCTCACTACTTGCTAGTCAGTTATTGTATTTAACCAAGATAAGTTTCACTTGTTTAGTAACTCAAACCATGTTTGTGGAGCTGTGGTTACGAAGACACACTGATTGCACCTCTCTTAAGCGTTAGTTAGCGTGCTGTTGCTCTCCTGTCTACCTTAACTGTCGTGAGTACACAGGCGGAGTGGAAGACTAGACCTCGTCTTAAGCGCTAGTAGTCTTTGAACTGTGAACCTTTTAAAGCAAAATATATTTTGGAGTTGTATATGATTGTTTTCAGTTTTACTGATAATTTATCTAAAGATGAACCCTCACGTGAAGGACAAGGAAGTAACAGATTGTTACATATTTTTAACTAGTGATTTCAGCTGAAGAATTCATGGCAAATTCATCAACTCTCAGCCAATTAGATTTTGACATGTACTAATACGATCTAATTGAGGAATTATGAAGACATTTTCTCCTGAGAAAATGAGCACATAGTCACTCCTTAAAGAGGTTACAGTATCAATGTTACTCATCTGGAAGAATATTAGTTGGAATCCCAATAGCATCTATAAAGGACACCTCATAATATATCTGTGAAATATAGCACTGTGAGGGCCAATTCAGACAGGTAGAACAATCCATCCTCAACTGTTGGTGCTGGGCTTTAAACACCCGCTTTCCCCTTTGCCTCTGCCCTCCCAGGTGCGGGGGGCTGGTCCCCGTCAGACAGTGACCACTATCAGTGGCTCCAGGTGGATTTTGGCAGTCGGAAGCAGATGAGCGCCATCGCCACCCAAGGGAGATACAGCAGCTCCGACTGGGTGACACAGTACCGGCTGCTCTACAGTGACACGGGCAGGAACTGGAAACCCTACCACCAGGACGGCAACATCTGGGTGAGTCGTCGTCACAAAGCGAGGGCAGGTTACAATGCAGATGTTTGATAACAGGGGGAGATGCGCATTTGAAGATATTGGTGGTCCTCTCTCTGAGGTTCATGTGGTCGTCAACATTTATTAAAGACCTTTGATGGATAGAACAATTGATCAATGGATAGTTATAGATAGATGGTTAGATAGAGAGTAGAGAGATAAGATATAAGATAGTAGATAGATGATACATTAGATAGACATACAATAGGTAGTTATAGACAAATGATCAATTGATAGATCGAGAGATTCTTGTTGATTGAGGAAACAGCTGTCTTGGGTGAAGTGACTTTCCAAAGCCTGGGGCATGGCTATCAATCTTGGCCATACAGTCCAGTCACTTGAGGAATTTTCCAATATATGGATGACAGGCACACCCAGATCAATTAAATCAGAATCATGTAGAGGAAAATTATGACGAATAATTCTTAAGACTTGCTTTTAATGTGAATATCTTTGATTTGAGTAAAATATCAAAATTATGAGGAAAATAATTAAGAGGAGTAGGAGCAGTGATATATGGTAAGAAAAGATATTACCCATGTTGCAGAGGTTGTTTGAAACCCTTATTACAAATCTATATTCACTTTATTCTTTTATTACCAGAGAAAAACAAACATTTAATCCATTTTGCACTTAAATATTTCAATTAGATTGGAAAGTTGTATGTAGTCAGTCTATTATTTGCAAGTGGAATACCTAACAGTGGAGGGATCTATTTTATTTTAATTATTTTAAAAAGCAGTCAGAACCAAAATCTAGTAATCAATATTAAAAGGAAGGAAGGGAGGGAGGAACGGAGGGAGGAAGGGAGGGAGGAGGAAGAAGGGGGACGGTTTGCTGTAATGTTGTGTCTTTCACAGTACTGGGCAGAGTGTTGGGGATTTTCAGCCGGTCGGGGCTCACTCCTGCAGCTATTTTAAAAGTCCCCAGGTGATGTGGGGAGTGACAGAGTTTAGAAGTGCTGGTGTGGGTGTCAGGCATTTCCACAGTTGTACCCATGATGGTTAACTGTCGGGTGAAATGAGGATATAATCTGCTGATGACAAAACATGTGTCTGCCTAGGTCCTGGTTTAGAAATAACGCTTAACAAGCCACAAAGGTAAAGCAAGAACGTTGTGTATCAGGATGTAGAAGTCATGGGAAGCTAATAGTGGGGGAAATTCATGTTTGTGGGAAGTCTTCATCTTATAATTAAAGGGTAATTTACAGAGAATCAGTTTTCAACCAGTGTACATAATGGAACCACTTAGAGAGTTTTAAAACACATGGCGCCTGGGTTCCACCCGCAGCGGTGTGGATTGGATTGGTCTGTGGTGCGTCCCGGGCATGGGGATTTTAAAGCCTTCCCTTGATCCCGGCGCTCAGGTGAGGCTGCACCAGGTCTCAGACTGCTTTCCTAAGGGCCGCCTGAAGGTGGGACGCATGAAGGAGGAGGATTGGGAAGAATAACTGTAGAACAGAAAAGTAGACAGGACCTTCCTTAAAGGGTAGCAGAGAGGGAGAGAGAAAGAGAGAGAAAGACTGATCAGTTCACCAACCAATCAGCCCACCAAACCATGCACCAACCAACAAAGTAACTTAGAGTCAACAGGGGAAGCTTGTATCACAAACCCACCTGGTGACCTTTCCTTACTTTCTGACTAACTCTCTGGAGCTATCATTGAAGATCAGACCAGCATGCAGGTAAAATTGTATAAAAGGCTGCAAGCCAGACTCCAAAATATGTTTGATGTTTCAGTTTTGGTGAAGTCTTCATCTCATAATCAAGAGAGTGTTTGAATCCCCTCTGATCACCATCCTGTCTCTTCTCAGCTAAGGTAGTAAGGAGGAGTGTGAAAACACAGACCTTACTCTACTTGGCCGTTGGTTAGCCGTTATGAATATCCGCATTCTGACTATATGCAGAGACAGAAGTTGCTTGGTGAGGGAGGGTAAAATTGTCCAAGGTGACTTGGTCACTTCAGGTGCTAAGTGAAATACAGTCACGCAGTAAAACAGCAGGAGTCCTGCAAGTCATCTGAGCCTAAACGCCAGGATCTCACGGAGTTCCTGTTGTCTCCTGCCTTGGCGGTGTTCATTTTGTTACCTCCTTTCAACTCGTATGTTTCACCGTAAAAATAAGCATGCTATATGATGACTGATGAGTGGATATTTCTGGGGAAAAAGAACTTCAATGAACTAATTATGAAATTAAAAGAAATCACAACAAAATTAAGGCTCAGTCTAAATATTGCAAAAGCATATTTTTGTGCCGATGAGCCTGCAACATAACGATTATGTTACTTCAATAATCTATGACAGAAATATTTTAATCCTCACTGATGCAAAACAGTCCATTGCTTTAATGTATTCTGAAAGAGATAAAATTCATTGTTTCCTAAAAATCTGTGAGTACTTCAGAGCTTATGTCTTAACACACATTAAGTGATTAAAATTTAGCATTTACAAATCTCAACAAAAATAATTTTGGTGCTGAAGTTTATTAGAAATGGTAATAAATATTAGATTTTCTTTTAATCCACTACAGTTGAACAGAAGGAATATTGAACTTGAATGAAAGAATTCAGGCACATCTGAAGATTGAGTGGCTCTAATGGCTAACACCTTATAAATGTGAACTTTCAGACAGTCCCCAAAATTTAAAGCAGATGTAGCTTTGAGTTTTCTTTTCCCATCCATTCCTGTAGGGATTGAGTACCCAAGAAAATGGACAATGATATAAATTCAGTCGCTTCAATATTATTTTTTAACAAATGCAAACTGGTCTTCTTTCTGTAATGGTAGGGGAAATGGATAACATGACTAATTTTGTTATAGTATTCTTTTGAAATGACCATATGAAGATTCTGAGTTACTTTATGGGATTATTGGCTAATATGTTAAAAGAAGCGAAGAACAAGGGATATAGATGAGAAATTACAACAGAATTTGAAAAGATTTTAAAACTATTAACCTCACAATATGGAATTAGAATGGCTCTTGAAAGAGTTCTGAAGAATGGTTTCTCTAAATATTTAATACTGTAAGTAGTGGGTTACTGAATGTGGTAAGGAGCCAAGCCTTCCTATTCATCTTTGATGATACTGACTGTAATAGAATCCTTGATACTTTCTCCACAATGCCATTTCCTTCTATTTAGATTTTCCTTCCAATATAAAAGGAAAAATATGTGCACGCTGGTAAAACTGCCAACAACCCATCGCGTGTTCGTACCCCACCGGCTCTCATTTCCTTACTTCTCTTGAGTGGTTTTCAGGTTTCCTAAGTATAATCTGTTGGAGAGAAGCAGCTTTCTATATAAGTATTTCTTATGAAATTCCATTAAACATTGCATTAAATAAGAATCCCAGCAGATTTTTGCTAAGGCTTTGCATTTAGTGTTGTTTGGGAAATTCAATTACTGGTTTCTGAATGTAGATATTTGGAGCCAAAGTAGAAAATGGGAGTCTTAATGGTGAATGCGTTCTTCACACATCCCTGTTCTTTTACAGGACGGTAACGTACTATCAAGTCAGCGTTCATGGTAACGTAGTTGTGTGTCTGTCTTTTTTTATTCTTACATGACGAGAAAAGGCCTATGTGTTACTAATTATTTCTGAAAACCAGTTGCCGATCTCAGAGAGAGTCTACAAAACTACTTTAGTATTCTTTTTTCAATGAGCTTGTGTTCCGTTCTGTCCTTTCCTGATCATGTTTGCCTCTGTTTATGCATTACATGGAAGCATTTTGAATGTCGGAAATGGGTTTAAAGTAGGAGGTGGAGTGTAGGCAAATCTGGGGCATAGTTTCAATTTGCATATGGAGTGGCCAAGGGTACACAGTCCAGTGGAGGGAGACAGAGAGGGAGTGTGGCCAGCAGACCTAGCTCCAGTGCCATTGCAGACTTTAACAGATCATTTGTCACCAGAATGAGGGCTGTGTGACCAATGAGCCATATAAGGGGATCCTGCTGAAAAATGAATAGATCATCCTGTCCTACCTTTCCAGCCATTTGCTGTGACTGTCACACTAATGTTCCCAATTAATTAAAAACCTGTCCCAGTGATGAGTGTAAAGCATGAATGCCTCTGTTTCTCAGCTCAGTGGCGTGTTTAGATTCTCTCATTAAATTTAGAAATTTTCTGCATATAAAACTAATGAAGACAACCATCCCTGTTGCTCACTTATATATCTCCCATCCTATAGTTGCTTTCCGTACTTCACTGTGACGCAATCGCCACAACAATGCTGCAGACATGCCCATGATCGTGAAGATGGCGCGGGACCGGGCAACGTTTTGTTCTGTTATCCATAAAGTCACTGTGAGTCGGAACTAACTCTGCAGCAACCTGCAATAGCAACTTCACTAAGGACACTAACACAGCTCTGTTCTCCCATAGCTGTGACTTCTCTTGCTAGTCTGTGTAAGGAGTCCCTGGGTGGTGCAGATGGGTAAACACTCAACTACTAGCAGAAAGGTTGGCAGCTTGACCTCCAGAGGTACCTTGGAAGAAAGGCCTGGTGATCTGCTTCCAAAAGGTAATAGTCGTGAAAACACTATGGAGCACAGTTCTACTCTGAAACACATGGAATGGCCTTGAGTTGGAGTCAACTCAATGGCAACTAACAAGTCTATGTATACACACTTAGAGTTGCTGTAATAACTTACGTGGGTGAAGGACCAACAAAGTATACTCAGGATAGTTTTAGAGAGAGCTCATTAAGAAATAGAACAAATCAGAGAAATGTGCATTTACCACTTTCTAAAATAACCCTTCATATAAATGTGTTAATAATCTTCAAGACTTTTATAGATGAAAACAACTGCCAAGGTGAATTTGGAATAAGCTTCATATTTCTGTGAAACAGATTTTTCTGTTTACACCCCGTTTGGGCTGGGTGATATTTTTAAAGTCTCATGAATTTTAATAAGTTGTGTGGATATTCCAGATCTTTTTGCACAGCCGATAATCCCTCTACTGGT